AACATTCTTATAATTTTAACAATACGTTTTTTTAAAAATCACTTTTTACGAAGTTTATTCTTAAAAAATCTATGAAACATGCACTTAGTGTTATTTGTGACAATTAATCTTAAATCTTGTGTGGAAGCGAACCACTCACAAAGTTTTCAAAGCCCGAAGCCCCAAAAAGCAGCATATTGAAGTTTTTATTTATTTATTATTATTATTATTATTTCGTTTTTCCTATTTTACTTTTGTGTCAAAACTTGTCTTGTTTGGGAGAGCTTAAAATTCAATTAATGTTGAAAATATGGTCATTATTGGGTCTCACTCGTCTAATAAAAGTCAACAATAACGATTAAATTTTCAATTTTAATTTCTACCAAACACACTCTTAGCCCGGTTTGGCCCCCATTTTTTTTCATTACATTACATTAATTTTTTTTTCTCTTCATTTCAACAACACATTCATCAAATAAAATAATATTACACACAAATCTAAAATTTTTCATTGCTTTTCTACCACACATTCTCCCATCAATTACTATTCAAAAAATTTTCAACACCCGGGCCAAACAGGGGGCTTAATGAGTATTTATTAATTAATAATCGACGGTCACGATTGCTTGCTTCTCGTCACTATTCCTAATCTGACAGTCAGCATAATTCTTCCAGGTCTTCTTCAATCATAAAAGCAGCTGGTTCTCTACGGTTACATTATTTACCAAAACCTTTTTTCTCAAGACAAAAATCCTCTGAACTCGTCGCTTCTCCGGTGAGAACCCCTCGCTCCCTGTCTTGTTATACATATATGTATGTGTGTATATATGCATATAATCTCTCGATCTATTTTTTTGGCGTCTTTTGCTGTAGATCTTAGATTATTTATTCCAGTAGTGTACGTGTGCATTTGATGGTTTTGGTTAGTCGTTTTGATGATCAGAGGAACTCTTGACAATAGATTATGAATATTATTTGGCGAATTCATTTTTACAGTATAGATATTGAGCTACGCTTGGTACTGTTGAATTAGGGTTTTGGTCTTGAAGTTGGGAAAATTGAAATGATCTTTCACATTACTTCAGTTCTGTATTCTAACTTCCAAGCATTTTATAATTTATTTATTTTTTTATTCATTGGGAAAAATTTGTATTTCGAGTCTTTAAATCCTTACAGTGACTGCCTTTTCTGAATAAATGTAGAAAACATGGATTACGTGGGATAACATTTTCTCTTGAGCCATTTGGAATATAAGATTTGTGATATGTATCCTCCAATTTTCGTGTGTTTTGGCTTGGACAGGCCATTGTATACGTTGTTTTTATATGCAATTGATTTTCTCAATGGTTGATTTATAGATGGATTGGCAAGGACAAAAGCTAGCAGAGCACCTGATGCAGCTTCCGCTGGTACTTTTTGCAGTGCTGGCGTTTATCACGGGATATGTGTTGGGATCATTTCAGACAATGCTGCTTATATATGCAGCCGGTGTTATATTAACTTCTCTGATTATGGTTCCCAATTGGCCATTCTTCAATCGTCACCCTCTCAATTGGTTAGATTCAAGTGAAGCTGAAAAGTACCCCAAGCCACAGCCTGCTAATTTGGGCATGAAGAAGAAAACGTCTAAGAAGTAGGTCATTTGATTGACTACTCCTAACTAGGCTTTCTACATTGTTAAGAGTCTTTCCATGTTTCAGGGATGTATTGATACGTTTCATCGTGAATTTTGGATCAATGAACTACATGATTCTTGTCTGCTTGGAAAATAGTATAACTTTATGCAATGTCGGAAGGAAGTTTTCCGTTTACAATAATTTGGCTTTGATTCTTTTATTTGTGATGTTTTGTGCATTCTTCCCTGTCATCTCTATATGTTGATGCAATGTGAACTTAGTTGTTCTGTGTGTTTCTAATATGGGTTGATGGATTTTGGTACCGTTTTATATTGTGTGTTCCCTGTGGGTGCCTCTTGTTAAAAACTTAGAACCTATGAACATTTGAAACTATATGCATTAAATTTTGTTTCTATTGTTAAAGGCCATGTACTTTTCAGTTGATGGGTGGATTACTGAGGACAGGTTTTAACACCAAAAGATTATTACCTATACGACAATAAATTTGCTCATTATGATCCTTGGTCTGGCCTGGATTTTAAATAATGAGCAAATCTGCTACTGAGTCTGATTTAAATGTCTATAATTCCTGTTAGTCAGTCTACATGAATCATCATATTTCTTTGATCTGTTAATTGTTATGCTCTCTCAGGTATGTTTAGAAGTTATAATATTATACGCCACACATTTTTATCACCTGGGCGATTAACAGATGTTTCTATTTTAGAGGTTTATGATTTAGGCAAAGCACTGGAAAACAGTGTTTTCATAAGTGCCGAAGTACCTCATTTTAGGCCTTGATTAAGAGCCTTGAAAACTTGCACTTTCCGTGCTATTTGTCAAGGCTGACTATTTTGCTGACCGAAAGCGTCTCTATGAGACTCTTTATTTATGAAGAGCATCTTTAAATTTAGAAAGTCAAAATTTTTATGTACTCTTAACAATTCTTTCTATTTTGGCTCTTCATTTTGCTTTTCTCAAGAAATATTTATTTATTGATTTCTTCTCATATTTTATTTAACACAAATTTTTGTATGTCAATGACCAATCAATTTAAATGTGTGTTAAATAGTTTAAGAAGTAGAGTATTTAAATATGTGAATTATTAGATACAATCATTGTACATTAAGAATAGAGAGTGAGTTTGACTCTCTAAATTTTGAGAGCGAACTCACCTTTTATTTTAAAAAGTTAAAATAGAGTCTTTTGGAACTTATTTTTAAATATTATTTCTTTAAATAAAAAGTATTTTGTATTTAGATAATATCTTGTAGATGGTGCGAGTGCATAAGCCTTAGGGTACTGAGGTTGTGCCCCTTAGTTTTTCCCTTTATGTAGGGGTGGGCGTGGGTTGGGTTGGGTTGGTTTTTGTCCCAACCCAAACCCAACCCAACATGGTCGTGTAAATGTTAAAACCCAACCCGTGTAAATGTTAAAACCCAACCCAACCCAACCCAATCAAGTGTCGGTCGGGTTGGGTCGGGTTGATCGGGTTGCCAAAGACATGCGGTATTTAGTAAATAAAATCATTAAACTTTTTGTAGACTCAGAAANGGGTTGGGTTGGTTTTTGTCCCAACCCAAACCCAACCCAACATGGTCGGTTTGATCTAAAATCAAACCAACCCAACCCGTGTAAATGTTAAAACCCAACCCAACCCAACCCAATCAAGTGTCGGTCGGGTTGGGTCGGGTTGATCGGGTTGCCAAAGACATGCGGTATTTAGTAAATAAAATCATTAAACTTTTTGTAGACTCAGAAATTACTTTAGTAAATAACTAATTCATGAATGACAATGCCAATAACCAAATTCTTACTGGGTTACACTTACACAGCAGATCAAGATGGAAATAAACATACTCGTTTTTAACATTCAACATGCGTTTATTTGCTTATAATGATACTGTCCATAACTATTGTAGAAATGAGCAAGTAATCAAAATGCCCAAAGGAAATGTGTTAAGAAAAAAAGCACATAGTATGACACAGCCACACAGATGCATCCAATAAAATCCAATTTCGCTTTCAGTGTTTACAACTTCCCCTTATAATTTTCAAGTGCAAAAACAAGACCGTGTAGGAAAAATCATCTGTTCATCATCAAGATTGAAACTGTGTGTTCCTTTTTGTCCCTGTTTTTATAGAGAGAAATATTACATAAAAAGAGTCAAAGGGGTGGTTTGTTAGGTGGCTAATAAGTAATACCTAACATAAGCAGAGATCAAGAAAACTCAGAGGATTCCAATTAGATCTGAAATTGCAGAGCTTTTCTTGGGTTTGTGTTGAAGTTTAGTTCATTTCGTTTTCAGGAACCTGAAGTAAGCAAATTGTTTGTACTTTGTGCTTGTATCATCTTGAAGTTGGTTTTGGAATTGTGAATTGTTTTCCCAGGCTAAGAAATTGAATTTTTTTGAGGGATTTTTTTTGAAATTGGATGGGTATTTGCCTTAGCAACGAAATCAAGGCCGAGAGCACATTGCATACTGGTATAAGTATATTTTTAATCCACAATCACTTTCTTTATGTAAAACTAAAGAGAGAAAGCATTGAAATTATGGTTGCTATATGAGAAAATGGGGAGGTTGAATCAAGAAATTCGAAGAATTACGTACCAATTGAGAAAGATTTCCTGTTTTACTGCGAACTGATTTCAATTGACTTCTTGTTGGATTTCAACGGGACTGGCGATTTGAGCCTTGAGGAGNGGTCGGTTTGGGTCGGGTCGGGCGGTTTGGTCGGGTTGGTTTGGATTTTGCCCACCCCTACCTTTATGAACCTCAACATTCTTAGCTTTTTGGATGTTTTTTCCTTATATCATAAACATTTTAAAGATTATGTGGATGGTTTTAAATACAGTCTAACTCAATAAATTAAGCTTACATTTGGCAAATTTATAAAGAAGAATATTAGTGGTCTCATAAAATATGTGGATAACAATAGATAGTGGTTATGAATGTGTGGTTGATAGTAATATTTGATTTTGCTAAATTTATAAATTATATTAAAACAGAGGCTAAAAAGTCGAGCTTGCCCCCTACTTAGCCCTTATTTGAGGGTTATTATTGTGTAAAAAATGATATTTTGAATAGTAATTTTTTTAGAGAATGTGTGGTTAAAAAATGATGAAATATTTTGGATTTGCATATTATTGTGTGAATGTGTGGTTAAAAATGAATATAAAAAATAAATTTATTTTTAAAGGGAGTCAAATAGAGGCTTATTTTTTTTGTCCAAGTTGAACATTGGGCTTTTCGTTAGGTTAACATGTTTTATGTTTCATTTTAAAAATTTCAAATGAAGGATAATTTTGTGGAAATTATACAAAACAAGAGTTTTCAAGATTCAATTTCAAATTTCAGATATTAGGTATCACTTTTCAAGAATCAGATATTTCCCAATCTCTCTCCACCCCCATCCATTCTCTCTTCCTCTCCCATCTCTTTCTATTCTCCCCTTCCAAAAATTGCTCGCGACGCTTCCATACCCCATTGTCCACAGCCACTTCGCCGCCACCATGCCCACTGAAATGCGTCGCCCGTCGGAGTTGCTGATAGAGATCGCAACGTGATGCTCAAGACACCACCATCGCAGTGGCATTGCTCTGAAGCAGCCAACGTCTGCAGCCTTGTCACTTTGAAACAAGCACTACAACCATCGATCTGTTAAGAGGAGGTCGACGACGAATCTGTTATAAGCAGCGATGAGCGTCGCTACTTCATGGTGGTTGTGAATCTCTGTGTCTAACATAAAAGGGTGTGAATTTGTGGTGGTGCAGTGGTCTACGATGGTGTCGTGGTGGTGTGCGTGGTGATGATGCTAGTGGTGCTGAGTGGGGGTGCAACGACTATGGTTTTGGGCTTTTCGGATGGTTTCTTCCTCCGATCTGCTTCATCGGA